CACGCACGCACGCACGCACGCACGCACGCACGCACGCACGCACACACACACACACACACAACTCCTCTTATATATTCCTCTTATATATGTGTATATATATATATAATCTTATTTTTTCTTTTTTCGACATTCAACCGAGAGCCTCATTCTCTGAGAACGAAGAGACACCCCTCGCTGTCCAAATTACACGCTAATAGAGATCGCACGACGCCGCGAGCCGATGCATAATACATATAATACAGCGAGGAAGCCGAAAATTGTTTTATATATATCGTGTAAGGAGAAAGGGACAACTTATTAAACTTCACCCGCGTGCTAGCAGAAAACTTGAAGAAAATCGGGCTATTAGGGATTATTCCAAAATTTACCGTCGCGCGACTAAAGCTCCCCCGCCGAAGCACGCTCTCGAAAGTTGTGATGAAATGTGTAACTTCATAACGAAGAGTTACTGCTGACGTTATATCACCCCGCGACACTCGCGCCCCGCAAGGATCCCACCTTCGGATAGCCCCGACGAGGTTCACTTAATGCCCGGTCTCATCGCGGCTGGTTCCAAACTGCGAGTTTCAGGAAAATAACGCGCCCGAAAACGTGTCGCCCGAATTGAAGCACGCCGTGGTGTATATTAAAACAAACAAAAAGAAAAAACGATCGCTGTACGAGTCTGAAGCTACCGTCGCACTTCGGTCGTGATGTCATCGACTATGCGGGAATTATTTCCCGGTAAATCGCGGAGTTCCTTGCACCACGGACGTTCAATTTCCGACAGCGATGGGCATTCACCGTAACGTTGAAATGAAAATTCCACTACACTGAGAGAAAGAGAAAGAGACAAAAGAGTAGAGTAGAGTATATTTATATATTTAGCGCGCGTGCGCTCTAGGATGTTAAATCCCTTGGGGCAATCAGTATTATAAAATGGCATAAAACGGTTGCAATACAAAATATACAAAGAAAAAAATTAAAGAGAAAAAATATGTAAGAAATAAAAAACATTTACTCGGCACACACACACACACATATATATATATACACGTATATACTCTCTTAAAGTGAATCAGTGAATCAGTCACTGATATCAGTTATAAGTATAGCACTGAGCACTGAAAGTGCAACACTTATAACTGCAAATAAGTGTATATTCACTGTTTTCAATGATGTTTCACTGATTCATTTTAAGAGAGTATATTTAATGTTATATATAAAATAGAATGTCTGTCTGTATGTTTCCTATTAACTCCTAAATCTTTTGACAGATCTGAACTAAATATTACACAGTTGTAGAGTCTTGCAGAAAATATAAATATGAACATGTCACTTTCTTCCCCTAATTTCATTCCCTTGACACTTTGTGATAACCCGAACAATGTCAGATAGATTTAAAGTAGTATAAAATATCTGTCAAATAATAAGATGTATATCTTCTTAAAACCTTAAGGAAATTTCAGTAATCTTTTCATAGAAGCAATTGTTTATTCTATTCAGATATAAAAAAATTCAAATTTAAGGAAATATGTTATAAGTACTCGCCACACAGATAAATATGTGTACTATTTTGTAGATATTGTCCCTCTCAGTGTACAAAGAAATTCGCTTTGAATTCACCAAGGATTAATGTTTCGTCATTCTCAGCAATTTTTATTATCCTTTGTGATTCCAAGTATATGGAAAAAATAATTCTGTTGGTGCAACTGAATTTTCGGTTGCTCAGGGATCGTGTCATGTTGTTCCTCTTACCCTTCTCTTTCCTCTTTCCCCTTCCCCTTATCGCTCCATACTCAGCCTTTGAGTCGATCGAGCCTCATGAACGTAATCTCCGCATATCGTTCTATGAAGCCCGTAGAAGAGAAAAGAATAGGAAAACTTATGAATCTTTTTATAAAGATATTTTGTCAAATTTTTATTTTAATTGTGAATATTTGTTTTCAATAATTTTTCAAGTCACCTATGAGGTACTATTTCAGGGATCAGACGAAAACTCGGCTGTAGGAAGAGAAAAATTCCTTTATGAGGCTTCTGTATAATCAATTGTTCTCAGTTGCTTCAACCGAATTCTAATATTACTGAATGTTCAGACGAATATTTACGACAACAGAAATATTAGTTTTCAAAACAGAGATATCGCTTCTGATCACCTAATTTTCAGTTAGTTCCTATTCGCTTGCATCAACTGAGATTTTTTTTGCGTGTATGAAGAAGCGTGGACGAGTTTGTTCGCCGATATTCGCGAGTCGGGGGAAAAGAATCCGCGTTTCTAGGACGTCTCGCACTCCAGGGCGACTGCGATATTTGCCCCGAGGGCGAGCTCCGTCGACGAAATCGTCCCCGGGATTGTCGTTACCAGGCCCGACAGCCATGGGGAAGCGTGTAACGCGATAAAGAAGAGTCAGTGGGCACCTACGGACACTTTTCTCCGCGGGGAAGCCAGCCGGGCCGGCCTCGGATAGCCGAGGTTGCCGTTCATTTAATGCCTGGTTTCACCGTAGCCGCTTAAATTTAAGCCGGGCTTAAGCCACATCCGCTACGACACCGCCACGGCTGTCACTGGCTGCCGGGACATTCGGGGATGGCTTAATTTTAAACGAGCGCGCCGGCAACCACCCCCGTCAGGGAGCGGTTGCGGCCTTGTCGTCGCGATGACTGACCATGAAGTCGGTAAATAACGATTCGAACCATGGCGGCTCGTTAATTCGGCCCGAATGAGCAAACATCCTCGAGGTCGCCGCTCGTTGGCTGGGACGACGGATATTACGGATTAATGCGACGGCACCGGGAAAAGAGCGCTGTGTTAGGCGCGGTCGTTTCCGACGCAGCTTTGCTCAAGCAAAACGACGCGAATCGAGAGAGAGCAGGCAGAAGTGGGCTTTTCAGGTGAAATCGCAGTTAAAATTAGAATAAAAATCGACATCGGCGAGGATATTAAAATTGGATCCTGCGTTGAAATTGAACAGAAGTTCGAGATATTAAGGCCTCATGAGTTGTTTATTGCACGCTTTGCACGCAATATTGCATTTGACGTATTGTTTGAGGAAAATTTCGATCGTTCCTTTTTCATATTTCTTTCGTACCTCTATTTCATCTCATTCCATGTGACAAATACGAGTGCAATCTGATCAGTCATAAGGGAGACTCGACGTTGCCGGGTCTCGTGATTTAATGTACTCAACCCTTTCGCTATCAATTTCGTTTTTTAAGGACACAATTTCTCTTTTACTTTCATTCCACATTAAATACATTAATGTAATGTAGTTTTAGCAAATTGAAAATTTCATGTTTTTGGCACCAAAGAGATAATCTCCCATTGGGTATTTCTCCCGACGATAATGAGTGCAGTGATAGCTGATGCGTTCTGAATGCCAGAAGAGCTGTTTCTTCAATTGAACAGGATTATTGTTAATGACGGGAGAACACGTATGTCCCGTTGGTAGCAAAAGGGTTGAAGTTGCTGCGAAATTTACGCACACTAGTCCGTCGGGGCGCATATTTACTTATTCTCACACGACTCCACGCAAATGATGATTCAGGATGTCGCGTGGGCGAGCGCACTTATGCCGAGGGCGAGATGGTTCGCGACATCGAGTGGAAGGCCGCATGCGACAATTGTTTCTGCGCGATGGGCGCCATACGGTGCGTGCCGCTCGCATGCGCGCCACCTCTTCAAGGCTGCGGCCCGATTGTACGGGAAGGACAATGCTGCCCGTCCACCTACAACTGCAGTGAGTTCACGCAACTTCGCAATCGGGGGTTATCGTACCAGCGCCACGCACTCCACCCCGCCCGGACTCCACGCTCCCCGCCGAAATTCCGCGCTGACGGCGGCATCTTGACGTATTCAGACCAGTCAGCGAATATCCAACGTTTCGCGCCCGGAAAACGATGGCGCAAAACTGTCGGGCCGGCGTGATGCTTTTTTTCGCGATATCCCGCCGACGAGTCTCGCGCGCGGAACAAACGATTCGAGTGAAAGAACGTCGAAAATAAAACGTCACGGTTGAAAGTCATTCCACTAAAACGTAAACAATGTTCCCATGAAAATATTCGCGTTTTTAATGGCGATTTTTTTAACGGCTGTGTCAGTTGAATTCCTTCTGAGCGTTTTGAGTACTGAAACTCTCGAAACTCTTATCCTGCTTTTCGCTACTTCAGACGCGGAAACAACGGTTTTCGTAAGACATCGGTTTTTCGCACAGCAAGAAATCAGACCACACACACACATACATGCATACACGCGCATGTCTTTCTCTCTGATATTTTAAAATTCCCGAAATATTAGTCCCCAATGCAGTATATGTGACACCGTCGATAGAAGTCGGTCGCAGCTGACGGCGAATCGAGTTCCGCGCTCGGTTAAGTAGAAAAATATTTTACTGAAAGCGAAAATATTTATTTGATGCATGCCTCGATGCGAGAGAATAACAAAGCCGTCAGCAAACAAACCGTCTCGTCTTCGGGTTGGAAAATATTTCATCGGCTATTCCTGCTCGCGTGTGAAAAATAAAATATCTCGCCCGGCTCGTTTTGGCGCGAGCTTGCGTGCGTGCGTGCGTGCGTGCGTGCGTGCGTGCGTGCGTGCGTAAGCGAATTAAACGCGCCGATTCTTGGGAGCGAGGTACATCTGCGAATTAAAGGGGGATTTAATTTCCGCGCGAAAGCGCTTATTCGATACAGTCAATATGGCAAGCTCCGCGAGCGTGATAGCCGTCGATATTAATATCTCGCGGCGCGGCCAGAAATACGCATCTACCGTACGAAAATCGGCCAGTGACCCGCAAAACGCCGACTTAAAAGCGCGCTTTATTCGCCGCCGTGGCTAACAGATTTCGCCGCCGATGCTTTCATCCGCGAGGAGATTACAGAGCCAGACACTCGACGCGGTTTGATATCGCGCTATTTCACAGCTTTAGGATCATTTCGTTTCTCATGCAAGTCGTACAGATCGTGCAAGCTGCACGAATTTTGCGGAAATTTAGCAGACCGTCCTATTTCCGTACGCGTCGCCAATTTGGCCGAGACGAATTATTCGCGATCGTGATCCTTCATCTATTATGTTCGGCCTCCTGAATATTTCAACGCGACCTTTGCAGAGATGAGAGACACTTTTAGTCGAAACATCCGAAGAAAAGTCAAAGATCAACCGAAGCGCGGTTCGTTCACGTTTATCTCTGCTGATTATTACTTGATCACTCTCGAGAGTCGCTTCGTTGAAGAACGTATCTCAATGGGAGAAACGCGGCTAGAAAATCGATGACGCGCGATCCTCCGAAAAGAAAAGAGACAATACGAGAGAGAAATTGAACGCCAGGCTGGTTCTGATCCACCCATCAGACGCTACGTGTCCTCGATATCGCAATTTAAAAAGGAAGCGATCGCTGGTTCGCTGGAAGCTGATTATGGCACACTTGGAGCGTTCAGGAAAAGTCCAAGTGTGTCATAATCAGCTTCCTACACGACCGCTTCATTTTCGATTGGGAAGGGACTGACTGATTGAACCTTCAAGGCGGTAGCATCGAGGTGAACGCCACCCAAAACTACGCATCCTACGCCTTCATCAGCAAGGACTACGCCAAGTTCCGCAAGGAGACCAACTTCATCGTACGTTCCCTTTTTTTTTTCTTTCTTCTTTACGCCTCTTCTCAACACATCCTCGTTGACTTTAGACGTCGCGTTGTTCTTGTTAACGATTAATTAACGTCGCCTAGTTCACGGCGAGCTACGCCGAATAGTTGGGAACTGTCGTCGCGCCCGGAATAAGCCTGCTACTCTAAATAGTTGCTAAATAGAAACGAGCGCACGAGAATCGAAGTTAGAAGGGGAGCCGAGGGGCAGACGGGACGGCGGGTGATTTATGTATAGTCGGCGGAATTTAATCAATGAGATCTAGCGGTAACATTGATTACAAACGCGTTAGACGTCCGACTTAGTTCGGGAATTCGGCAGAGAGCATTCCTTATTGGATCGCGAAGCACAATACGAGTTTAGGATCCGGCGACGGTGCATCTATCGTGGACGTGACACGTTGCGTTATTATTAATGGGTGACGTCGTTAGGACTGAACGCTACTTATGTACGGGAATTCAGATCTCGCGGGATACACGGGAATCTACTTAGACATCGGAAACGACACACGGTGCGGGATGGATCCCGTCACGATTCTTGAACGAGCGCGTCTGTCACGCGCGACAAAAAGACCTGCTTTGCCGAGTAACGAGATCTGACGTGCTCTGTGTCTTGGAATCATTGGAGTTTGTTGCTATCTCTGCGTGATTTTGGTGATTCTCTTTTTCGTGAACGCTAACGTATTGGATATTAATCGAAAATTTTCTTGAAATAATCGATTAATCAATAATTAAACTTCAATTGATTGTCGTATAAAGAGTTACTAATATTTTCATCAATTGATGAAGTTAATTTTTATTAAACCAACAAAATTTGATGTGATTGATAGTATACTGATCGATTAACATTTTTCTTTGGATAAAATAATTGAGTAAAATAAATCAATAATTAGGACTCAATCAATCAATCGTATAAAATTATGAATAATTTCATTGATAGATGAAATTGATTATTAGCCAAACTTTGATGTCAGCGATTACACATTGACTAATAATTAATTTCGTCAGTTGATAAAAGTAGTCGGCCAATTAATAATAAAAAAATTAACCAATTGTCATGTATTAAGTCCCGAATAATTTCATTAACTTCGCTAAACTTTGATGTAATTGATTATATCTTGATTAATAATTAACTTCATCAATTGATGAAATTAATTTGCAAATCAATAATCCAAATTAATTTATCGTCATATGTAAAATTATAAATAGTTTTGTCGATTGAAAGTAATTGTTAATCGATATGTGCTCAATCACACCAAAATTTGACTAATAATCTCATCAATTGATAAAACTATTTGTGATCTTTCATATGACGATTGATTATTTTTTATGATTTTGATTGATTCACTGATCATTTAAGTCAAAGAAAATTTCTAAATTTTAATTTTTTAATAATTAATGCCCAACACTACGTCCGCGTACTATATTTATCCGTTCTATTTATTTAGCTGCACGCTTGCGATATGAATTTGCGGCGATTTTTCCGACATCGAGAAATTAAATTCTCACGTGTAGCCGGGCTCGAATTCGGTCAAACGTCAACTACGACATCATTAAATTGATTCGATCGATCGAGCTACACCGAGTAGGCTTTAACGCGCGCGTCGACAGTTTTATTAAAAAAAAACAAAAAAAAAAGGAAAAAAGAGATTGAAAAAAAAGGGATAATAAAAGATTCTTTCGCGCGAACTAATCTTGTTCGAATTTACGGCACGAATCTGTTATTAATTGCTCAGCCGGCGATCGATCAATCCACCTATCCATCCGTCGAAGGACGAGGCCACAGGGTGGTCGAAGAACAAGTTAGCACCGACGCGATCGATCTCGAAGAGGATTCGTCTGTCGTCACCTACTCGACCGCTTGGCCATCAACCATGGAGACCGACATCATGGACAATGAAATCTTGATAGGGACAGTGGACTACAGATCGACCTTGGAGGTGACAACTGCCACGATTTCGACGAACGAGGTCTCTCAATATACTGTATAATTTCTTTAACGAAAGTTATCGATCGCCCCACACATAAATTGTATATTTTAATACAGAAAATTATAAAGATATTTTAGAAGATTTTGTACAGAAAAAAGGAATATATTCTTGTTTAGAGAATATCTTTGTTGTCAACGATTTAAAAATAAGATTAATATTAAAATGAGATTATATATGGCGTTGAACGAAGATAAATTAGTCTCATAGAATATTACGGTATTGATATTCTTAGTTATATATTATTAGTTTACAATCAAAACGAATATAGTCTACAGTCAAGACAAATATAGTCTACAGTCAAGACAAATTATCACAATCATTTTCTCATATATGATCAACATATACAACATATACTGATATTCTTGTTTATACATACGAAAATGATTGTCAATTTGACTATATTCGTTTTGATTGAAGACTAATTTATCTTCGACCAACGTCTTATAATCTCATTTTAATATTAATCTTACTTTTTAAATGTCAAGAAAGATATTCTCCAAACAAGAATATTCTTTTCTTTATGTGTGTAATCGTAAAACATCCTTTTACATGACATAGTTCTATAAAAAAAAACATTCTTTTACGTGACATAATTCTACAGAGAAAAAAAATAGGTGGAATCAACCGAATATTTGATGAAATATGAGCCAACTTGAATTCCGGCTGAAGTTACCAGAATTCTGTTCAAGTCAACAAGATTTCTGGTTAACTAGAGGAACCATTGCAGTTTATTATTTTCTCTTCGTGATTTTCTTTCTCGTTAACGTCCGCGCAGTGTTGGGCATTAATCAATGAAAATTTTCTTTGAAAATCGGCAAATCAACAATCAAACTTAAGTCGATTATCATATATAGACTCACAAATATTTTTATCAATTGAAATTAATTCTTGAAATTAATTCTTCCCGAGTCAAAATTTTGAGTTACTTCGATGCTCTTAAGGATATTTTGCGCCTATTTAGACGTTTTATAACCTACTTTGACGATATTGATATTCATTAACTTCTCTTTTGAACCTTTAACTCTACCTTGTCAAAATGTTGACGCTACTTTGACGCTCTTAAAAGTAAAAAAATTTGAGCCTAATTAGATAATCTATAACCTAGATGAAACCTATTTTGACGATATTGACACTCATTTCCGAGTCGAAATTTTGACCCTATGTTGAACCTTGAATTCTACACCGCAGTAGGAGCTAAGATAGCAAAGTAAGTTTAATTCTAATAATATAATTTACTCCTACTTTGACTCTGATTTTGACTGAAATTTCTGTTTTCGCTTTCTTTAGCGTCAAAGTAGATATAATAGTAAGATCTTAGGAAGCAAAGTAGGTTGCGAACCTCTATTGAAGCTTTAGTTCCTACATAGAATATATGTATTTTATAGAAATATTTAAAAAATTTAATAAATAACGAAACAGAAATATCAATAGCATACAAAATATACATTTTATTTGTTGCATATATTTCAGACATCATCAGGGTCAAAGTAGAAGTAAATTATATCATTAGAATTAAACCTACTTTGCTATCTTAGCTCCTACTGCGGTGTAGAATTCAAGGTTCAACATAAGGTCAAAATTTCGACTCGGGTTAAATCATCAAACTTTGATGTGATTGATTGTGTACACTGAATAACCGATTAAAATTTTACTTTCACTAAAATGATCGGCCAAACAATAATCAGGATTAATCAATCGCCATATATCAAATCACAAGATCTCCAGTTAACCAGAAATCTCGTTAACTTGAACAGAGTTCTGGTGACTTCAACTGGAATCCCGATTCGTTCATATTTCACCAGATATTCGGTTGATTCAACTAAATTTTCTTCTCAGTACATAAATATCGCCGTGGGTGAAACATGGGATGAATTACATAAATTGTATCGACGAGTTATTGTTCTCTTTTTTATTTTCGCGACACACGGGAACGATCGGCTACGTCGGAATGCCGACGCGGCGTTTCTGCCGTCTCTCCCGCCGGCGCGGACTCGCGAAAATCATAAATCCGACCGTAAATCAATCGACGTTAACGATTTGTCCCCGTTCGTTGCCCAGTTATCGAGTAACACCGAATCGACCGCGTACGAGTCGACGTTGGCGTCCACCAAAGACGCTGATTCCGTCACTGATTCCTGCGCGACGTGCTCCACGAACACGCTCACGGACTCGACAATTGCGGCGATGACGACAACGACGACGACGACGACGACGACGACGACGACGGAGATGGAAGATCCATCCAGCACGGACGGCACGACGATCTCGTCGCCGGAATGGACGACGACGGTGCTCCCGGAATTAACGCTCGATAATGGCAACGATGAAAACGAGGATGGCGGCGGGAACGAAAATAAAAACGAAAACGACGACCGGGACGGGGCTGCGGAGTTGAAGGCGGCCGAGAAAGCGGACATAATTGAGAGACACAAAGCTACGACGCATCCTTTCGCAATTTCCACGGATACCGGGGACCACCCGCTCTTCCCCGACGTGAAATCGCCCGAGGACTTCGCGCTCATCAAGGTAAGGGAGGAGGGGAAGGGGAATAATCATCGGGCTTTTCGACCGGCTAGACATTTTTTTCCGAAGCCAGGTGAAAAGTAATTCTAAGTTCTGCGCGAAGGAGAGAATCCTTATTCGAGAATCTTTTCAATTACACCGAATTAAATCTTCGGGGTTTCTTCTAATTTTTTTAATGCAACGAGAGAAAAAAATATTTAAGAGATAAAAAATATTTATTCGCGGTGAATATTGATACTCCTCCTGTAGTCCCACTGCTACGGAATCCTAGATTGATGAAATCAAAAGTGAAAAAATGCATGCCAAAAATTCTTGCGCGCTATTTTTTAATAAATATGGATATTTTTATAGAAGAACGTTTCAGATCGCTTATTTGTAAAATGCTCCGAAAAATATCCTTTTCCTTTGACTGTTAATAAACAATTTTAAAATTAACGTAGCAAAATCTTAAAATTAACGTAATAAAATCATGAAAAAAGGTAAGTTAAAGAGGAAGTACGTTTAAGAGATCTATGTCTTTCTATATAAATTTTCTTTTATTTAAAAAAAATAACATGCAAAAATTTTTGGCGTACGCTATTTGATGTCATTAATCCAGGATTCTGCAGCAATGAAATAAAGAAGACTAAAAAAAACACACACACATATATATATATATATATATATATATATATATATATATATATACTAATATAAAATATTTTTCAAATAAGAGAAATATACATTTTTTTAAAACCTTTTAGTTTTTCTTGAAAGCAAATGTTTGTTCTATTTAAACAAAAGGATTTAGATTTTAGAAGTGAATATGTTATCAGTACTTATCAAATAAATATTTTTTATTTTTTAGATATTTTTTCTCACAGAGCATAGCAATATACATTGCTGAAAAATTTCTCAAATAAAATTTCTGAAAAATTTCTCATTTGAGATCAATAAAAATTTTTCAGTAGGGAAGAACAATCAAAGTAGTAGTGGAAGAACAATCAGAATTGTGTTTGAGGACAAAACAAGTGGAGATGAAATACTTTCTTCGCAACTGAGAAAGAAACAAATACAACTATAAATAGACAACAACAAATATAAATAGACCAAGAAATTTTTGTCACTTCGTAAGAAGTTGCTTTCAATTAACACGTTGACTGCCGCGTTGATTGTATAAAAAACAAACTTTGTTGATTTAATTATATCAAAGATACGGTAAATGAATAGGATTTTGAGACGCGAGTATATCTTTCACCTCGTTTCCTTAGCTTTCCATTAATCGTGCAACTGATTTTTCAAATGTAATTAATTGTACTTTGTGCGTAACTTTTAATGAGTCGCAGTGGAATCATAGAGTCAAGAATCATAGAACCGACGACTGGTTACGGTACTCAACGTGTTAAGTATTGTACGTTCAATTTTCACTCATTTCACGCAATTGACGTTTCGAGAGATCGACAAACTCTCCGAGTCGAAATTTGGATTCTACATTGACCCTGCAAATTCCGTCGAACTTGAAGAGTCAATGAAGAATCTCGAGATGTACAAGCTATTGGCCTACCTTGTTGGCTGCAGATGGTTGTTTACCGGCGTTTCCTTCATGCTGAAGAAGCTCGAAGAAGCACTCGTTCAAGAATTATTTAACCCTTCACGAGTGGCAACCAGGGTCATTTGTGTCCAGGCTATTTTAAGAAGTGCTCATTTTTCGGAGCATCTTAGTTTAAAAATCATTAAAAATAAAATATTTAGAGCAATTTATTTTTCACAAAAAAGCTACATGGTTTTCAACTGGAAGAGTAAAGGAAGTTACAATAATTCTTGCGGATTTTCTCGGCCCCGAAGGAAAGTAGAATTGAGGAAGACAACGATCTGGTTTCTGGTTACCACTCCGAACATAGTTGTCACTCAAAGATTAATGTATTCAAATTTTTTTTATTTTTAATTATATTAATTATTGTTTATATTCAATATATACTTATATTCAATATATATTTTATATTCAATTATATACTTCTGAATTTGAATAAAATTTTGCATAAATCGCAAACTGTGCGGAACAATCGCGATTCGATGATAAAAATTCGAGATCAGATGTTTTCGAGCAAAATGACAAAGATTCTTATTCTGAATTCTTTTTTATCTCACGAGAAAGATATTTTTCCACGGGCTGAATATAAATTGTCAAAATCAGTCAGTCAGCTTGACAATTACTCGATACAAAAATCCGTCGTAACAAAAATTATAATTGACAATGAACGAAATATAAAGTTATTATACGTTAATATTAATAAAAATTAGTAGGAAAAAGGCTTTCTCTAATATACAATCGCAACCAAAATAACAAGAGTTAGTGAGAGCCAATACACGAGTGTGTTTTAGTGCAATAAATAAAATTTCCTCATAATCGATTTCTGTAGTCATGATATAATTTTAATATTAGTAATTGCTCCAAAATTAAATCTTACTATTCCGATTACGTTAATATTAATTGGTAAATATAAACACGCGATTGGCAATTGACGAAGTGTAACTATATTCGAACAAAATTTATATAAATAAGCAAATGTTAAATTATTTAATAAGGATTAGTGTGTAGGTAAATTGGTGAAAGAACAAGACTTAATCTCATCTCTTCCTAATTTTTCTCTTTTTTTTTCTTTTTTTCTTTTATCTTTTTTCTTTTTTTCTCTTTTTTCTCTTTTTTCCTTTTTTCGGAAGTTTTGATAAGATTTGTAGCTCTTAAAAAAGCTGATATGAAGCTGAAAAAACAAAGATAACAGTTAAGTGTCCAATAATGCTGTGTACTAAGAAAAATTTTAGATATGGATTTACTACGATAACAATAGCTCTGTAAACAAAAATAAATAGAAATCGATTGGCATGTAAAAAACGGTACTTGTAAGACAAAGGAGCATTATTGGAGGCAAAAATCAGAATTTACAAGAATTTTATTATATTCTAAGGTCGGTACTCATAGTTATAAATTATTTATATATTATTATAAATTACTATAAATTATTTACGATCTTTGATAGAAAGCATGATGTAGATTCCTATTCATGCGCCGTTGTTAAAAAAAAATCAATAATTTAAGATTATCAATTCAATTTGGAGAAAATCAAATTCTCAATTAAAATAAGCACAAACTAAGCACAAATACAAACTGAAAAAGAATCAGAGATTTCTAAAACTATAATTGTCAAGTTATAATTTGTCAAATGATAAGAAGCTATGAATGTCGACCTAAATTTCGACTCGGATATTTCCGTGTTTTCGGAAAGTTTGTCACACACGTTCATTAAAGTCGGAAATATACAATATAATAATTAATTTGGTACACACCTGAACTTATAATACGACGTGTCGTTTTCCACTTCCTTCGTCCTGTCTTCCCAATGTAGGATTCTGCTTCTGGCTGTTCTATCGTGGCACTTAACACTTGCACTCGCGTAGATACGATTCGATTTGAGAAACGCGTGTTAATTGTCGGTATCGACGCAAGAGAGGCTGTTTAAATATCATAAAAGTCTTCGGGAACAACTAACACGGACTGCGCATGACGGTGTGTGTATTGTGTGCCGGCTAGAAACGTAATGAGGCGGCCACGAGCGAGTACAAGACGCACGAGTATATGTAAACAATAGGAAAGGCAGGCAATACTCACCCCACTAGTCTCTAACGGTCGCTGCGCGCCAAACAATGGCGCGTATATACAGTGACTAACAAATCACAACAATTAAAACTATTAATACATTGTGACTTATTGAGACGTTCTGACAAATGCCCGCGGCGAGATGGAATATAAAGAAATTTAGGACATATTTTAGGTCTCTCTCAAACTCTAATTTTTCACTTCTAATTAATGTTCCTTGGGCTACGAGTTCCTTTTTTGTCGGCATTTGCTAACATCTTCTTTTTAGTTCTGTTTAACAGGTTATCATTGTACCAAATCCTGATCGAAATTTCTACCGGTGCATGATATGCAATTATTATCTTTGCTCTCACAATTCCTTCCTTTTCACTTCTATTGAATATTTAGATCCCGTTAAAACTACAAACTATAAAATGACAATAAAGAGATTATGAAAAAGGAAAGAATATTAGATGATATTAAATATTAAATAATTAATGTGTGTATATATATTTATATTTCACATTATTTATCCACATATTAATTATTCAATATTGGCTCGTTACCATATTTTATCGCAGTCGAATAAATAACACGAACGAGATAATACATTGCTTATTGAAACAAAAAATAAAATTAATTAGAAATAATTAGAATTAGAAGTAAAAAATAAGATTTAATAAGAAAACGGCAATGATATAACATTACAAAAGATAATGAAAACTGTGTAATGTTACATCGAAATTCTCCACTGGTCTTCCGAGTTCGATAAGATTCGCGAGGTCAATGAGGAAGCAAACTTTCGATCCAGGTCGAGGCTTTCTCATCTTTCTCGGGCTCAAGATCGAAAATCAGCGAATACCCGAGTCGAAATTTTAACCCTACTTCCGACCTTTCCAACGTCTGCACATCCTGAAGGATCAGTGTGTGTTTAACCCTTTAAGGCGCATAATTCATGGAACATTCTAGTAACTTTTTTTTAATGAAATATTGTCAAAAACACTCTAAATAGCACATTTGTAAGGTTTCAACTGCTCGATCCTAAGATTCTGGTCCTTGTTGGTACCAGTGATACTTAAAAGGTTAATACACGCGGACACTAAAGTTCTACTCAGCGGTTCTAAGTGGCAGAAAAATGCCACTTGTAGGTCCGAAAAAGGACCTTTCTACCTCAAGCCAGGTTGAATAGAATCACAAGAGAGGTTAGTATAGGCTGCAGAGTCTCAAAGTAGACGATAAATGGAATATTGAAGTTGGCAGAGTTAGGATCCAAATCTCGGGTGAACACCGGTGAAGCAGTCCTCTTACTGATTCCATCGGAAACATTTTTATTGATTCACTTGAAGGGAGCGTGCTTGCGTGCTCGCACACATTCGCCCCGTCATTGCGTGCGTCCGCTGCAAAACGGACGCACGCATGTTCGTTACGATTAAGCGCGTGTGTGACGCAGAGAACAGAGGCCATCGGTAAGAGACCCGTCACCAGTCCATCGTCGACGATACTCATGCCGGACGACATCCTGGTGATGAACGTGACAGTGAAGACGAATGTCTCGGTGGGCCATATACAGGGCGTCATGATAAATCCAATTAAGTCCATGCTGCCCGACGTAGAAGCCATTCTGAACATCACTCATCGCGAGAAGGGCGAGGATTACGATTACAACGGACAGGCCTTGCTGCCGAACGTCAGGTGATTGTTATCATATCTCGATTCGTCATCGCCCTGCCTGTTGTCGCCTTCACGGTGTCGTTATCGTCGCCTTTACGGTGTCGTTATCGTCGCGACTTGACACGGCCGACAGAACTTTCCCTTCTCCAAACGATGAACCGCTTGTGCGTTCGCGCGCCTAACCGGGAGATAAATGTTTTCCACTTGACAAATTCTCGGGCCCTCTTAATAATTGCGATACCTTTAGAACGTCCGGCGAACGCACGCGAATATCGACGGGTGCAAAACGCCGCTGCACGCAGTCGATGTAATCGACGGCGAGCTTCATTTCTTTTTATTACACACACCACGCGCGATGTGCAATCAATTTTTCACGCTTATAACAGCGGAGATCGCTATGCGTTCCCTTTTTCTTTCTCTCTTTTTTTTTTGTTATTTCGGCTTTTTGTCGACGAATTTCGTCGGTCGGAGAATGCCGCTCGACGGCATAACGTCGAGAATGAAATTGATATCGTTTGTCGAAAACAACTGATTGATGCCGATTTATAGAGTTATATTTTTTAACGACGGGAAATGCACAGTACCGGTCGGTTTTTGTTGTAATCTGTGAACGGCTCTTGTTTCTTTTTCTTCTTTCTCTTTCCCTCTTTCTCTCATACACACACACATTCCTTTTGCGCCGTTTATTCACGATAAGTTTTTAAGCGCGTGCGATTGTTAATCCGAACAAAATAATGAATAATCCCTTTGGGCAGAGTCGGTCACTTTATTCTCGTTAAAACGTTATCGCTGTTTCGCGACTTTTTTTACCGGTGTTTCGTTTCGTTGCCGCGGACCGAATTCGCATCATTTTCGGGGAGCGCGCGCGTTAACCCCTACGGAGAACTGAATGTCGTCATTGCAGGATAATACCCTTCGTGGCGGCGGACGCGTTGGTGAATAGCAAGGACGACGTATCCCCGCCCGAGACTGGATACTCCCCCGGCTCGGTGGTAGTGTCCCCTGAGCTACGACCGACCGATGCTTCTGGTTTTTACGAAATTGCGACCCAGGAGAACCGATTCAGCCCGCCCGTAGAGACCGAAGGTATTTTATAACTTTCTGCGCGCAGTCAAATGAACGGCCTGGATATGCAAAGGCGTGCTCGGCGAGGAACTTTGAGAAACGAACTGAGTGCATAAATATATGTATCAGAAACCAACTTGCGATTTACTTTCGCGAACGAGCGCGCCACCCTTACGTGTTTCTCTTCCTGCGCTTTTCCCAGGTCGCTTAATTATCCCTGATCAAGCCGTTCGCGTTTGAACGACAAGGAAAGAGGAAATAGACCGCTGTTATGTCACTCCATCTGTTTCCACTATCACTTAATCAGTATTGCTTCATTTCAATGATGATAATCGTCAATGATGATTATCGTCTTGTCACGATATTCTGGTGGACTTAATCCTGAAATTTGCTCCGGCGGGACAATATCGCGAAAACCGAATAACAGGAAGGTGTACCGGTGTACAATTTTCCTGAAATATTGAAAGCATGTTGTCCCGAGAAGTCACAGTCCCGCAGACAATCTCCCGAAACATATTGAAGGCATGAAGTTGCCCTACGAAGTTTATGACATGTTATTGACAACTTCATGCTTCATATTTCGGGACAATTGTATCTCGGTAACATTGTACCACTTCGGCATTCAGTTCTCGAGATCGTGACTTTTCGGGATGTTGCTCAACTTTTAGGATTTCGGTAAATTTTTCTTCGGGACTATGCGTATTCGTCGATATATCTATTATAAATAATATAAAGTACAGCGGGGTAAATTGAATAGCGGGGGAATTTGGATAATATTAAGCGTTTGCGACAATTTCAGAAAAATATGATATACATGTCTTGTAACCATGTCCGTAAGATATTTTAATTATTTTGAAGATAAGAGTAAAAAATCCTAATACAAAAATGTCGAGGCTACAATAGTTTTTGAATTATAATTGATCAAAGATTACCAGTAATATCGCGTGGAATTCGCGCGCTCGGGCCTGTAATTATGTAGCACGCACAACGTTTTATCATTTGTTATCGACTTCACGGTTAATATTGATTTTTATTACACAACTGATTCCTAAAAACATTAATAATTATTATTGTTAGAATTATTAAATTTAATAGTTTCTACACTTGAGTAACAAGGATTTTTGCGTTTTTAACATAAAAAGTCATCATGGAAAATAATGTATTATTATTTTCGTTTTTTCACGTTTTATGAGAAGTGAAATCATATAATTCTAATCAATTAAGGAAATAAAGTTAATTTGTCCACATTTCTTAAACAATTTAAATTTTTACTAAAATCTTGATATACTAAAATTATTGTAAGATCCGAACTAAGATCCGCTTTGACAGATACATTTAATACACTTTCTCCATTTAACAATCTTTATCAATCTTCATAATTTTTAACCTACCAACATTACAGGGCTGAGCGCGCGAATTCTACGCGATATTACTGGTAATCTTTGATCGGATTCAAAAACTATTGTAGCCTCGACATTTTTGTTTGTGTATATTAGGACTTTTTACTCTACTTTATCTTTAAAATACGCTATTAAAATATCTTACGGTGGTTGCAAGACACTCTGTATAGCATAAAAATATGAATATATGTATATCATGTCAAATATAAAACAAAGCGTTTCATATTTTCCTGAAATTGTCGCAAACGCTTAATATTATCCAAATTCCCCCGCTATTCAATTTACCCCGCTGTATCCTAAGGGTAATAAACGTTTGTTCGCAGGCGGCTTTGTGCCCAGGGAGCCCCCGTATTTCCCCTATTATTCCACGGACCTGGATCTCGAGATCGGTACCGGAGTCACCGTGGCCCCGGCGCAGATCACGAATCCGCATCGGAAAAACGATGGTATACATGCACTTTCGCGATTAACCGCCGATCGACTGCTCGATCGGATTTCGTAGAGCGTCTCACGGTGATTCTCGCATCGCTAATCGACCCCTGCCCTGCCCAATTAGACCTGTCCAGTAAGTGCCACTTGGAAAATATGGAATACCGTCACGGCGAGATCTTGCCCAGCACCGCTCTCTGCATAATCTGCATGTGTTACCACGGGGAGGTCGTGTGCTCGTCGAAGGAGTGTCCGCCATTAAAAATCGGTTGTCAGAGGATCACCTCCGAGGAGAGGTGTTGCGGCGAAATCGTTTGCGGTATGTCTCATGTCGTTCTATCGCTGTATAGACAGATGTAAGACTTCCTGCTCCCTCGCCGTGGAACTCTTGATTGATGACGTCAGAAGTGAGAAGAAGCATGCCCAAAATTCCTTCGTGCCATTTTCAAATGAAAAAATATATATGTATGATGAAACATTCCGAATTCAGATTTAAGATTTTAGATTCATTTCAGATTTCGAGTTTTACAATTATGCTGAAGCATACTTTCCCTCGGCAGTCAATAAATAGCCGTAAAATTAACGTGACATGCAACTTTCCTCTTCAACCTACCTTTCGCCATGATTCTGACATGTTCTGACACGTTAATTTTTTACGGCTATTTATTCACGGCTACTTCTTCATACAAATATCCTTTTATTGGAAAATGACGCGCAAGAAATCTCAGCGTGTCATATCTTGCTTCTGACGTCACGACAAGGCCACGGTGAATGCTTAACAATGCCTGACAATCACTTTCAACTAGAGATCGCACGGGTGTTAGTATTAACAATTTCTATCACGTCAACTAACTATAAATTCAATTGCTAAACTAACAAATGGTCATTGGAAAACTATGGCAAGACCGAATCAAGCAATTTTACTAAGCAACTGAAAAGAAGCTACGGCGATTAAGGGAGAAGCACAATTACTAAATCAACAAAAATCACAGTCAAAGCCGGCGAGTCGCCGACGGTGGTGCTAAGCCGCGCCGGTGCCACGGCGCCTTCCCAGCAGCAGCCAACGGTATCTCCCGATCCCTTTCGCGACGTCATCAAGACCGAGCCAGCTCCCGACCTACCGTCCTTAATCGAGGACATGATACGCGGTATTACGACAGCCAGGCCAACGACGTCCATGGCGGCGGCGGCTTCGAAGACATCGGCTCAAGGCTTGACAGGCAATCAACTACAACACCCGCCGAACTTTGACTTTATGGAACAGGTGCCGCTTATACGGCCACCCTTTGATTACGGCGAAGAGACGGCAGACTCACCTTTCATCTCAAAGATCACATACGACGATGTAAACGACGGCGACGCGTCCTCGAGGGACACTGTCTCGTTAACATACGACTCGGAGGCTCGCATCGTCAATCGCAGGCCGGCGAATGACGAGACGGAAGTCCTTGGCTACGACGCCGCGACCTTGGACAAGTTCAATCGCACGATGGAAGACTCGAGGGGTGATTTCCGCCGCGGCAATGCCACCGAGCAGAAGCTCACGCAAAAGGAGGAGAACGTATCGCTGAGCGACGAGCACGATGGGAACTCCACCGGCAAAGTGGACAATCGCGTCGCGCAGCACGACTACAGCGAGTCGAAGGGCTCGCCGAGCGCGGGGGTGGACGAGGACAAGAGCGCCGGGCAAGACGTCGAAGACGCTCAAGATATTTTTTCCCTCGACAGCGTCCTCGAGCTGCTGTTTTCCTCGAACACCAGCGACATCAGCAGCGAGCCGAGCGAGACCACGAAGACGCTAGATGTTCCCTCCGTCAGTGGCGCACGAGAGGGTCAGGAGGCTCTCGCCGTCTCGTCGACGAGCGCGGAGGGCTTAACCGAAGAGACAGGAACTGTCGAGACGTCCTCGAAGCTCCTCGACAACGAGATACCGATGTCCGTTGGCAGCTTGCTGAAGTTGGCGGGCTGTAATATATACGGGCGAATGTATCGCGTCGGCAGAATCATCATGGAGCTCTCGAATCCCTGTCTGGAGTGCAGATGCACGGAAATCGGTGTCCAGTGCAAGCCATTGGAGTGTTGATCAAACGCCGACTTCTTGTTCTTCCGTCTCTTTCCCTCTCTCTCTTCACCTGGGCTCATCCTTGTCGAGTCGCCGGGGAATTTAGCATTAAGAAAACGTATACAGCGCACACGAAACTCGCGGGTCGATTCAACGAGAGCGTGCTTCGTCGGCGAGTCCGATGCTGAGAAAATTGAAAGTGTATGTACGCGGAATTCTTCTTTGCGAAGCGGATGAAGTAAGTCGCTTCTCACGACACAGTGCGGATTGTGCGATTGTATCTTCCGGATTTCGCTTTTATCCCGATACCAGCGAAGTTTGCGACAACGGAAAATCTCTGAAATGCCGTCGACGCGCCCGAAAACGATGTTTAGATCTGGAGATCGGGGGAGAAAGAGAGAGGGAGGACGGAGCGTTCGCGCGAAATTACATGAAAATTTGAATAGGATACTCGAGCTTGAACAACTTCGTAATGGGCGTTTATGAAAATACTGAAATTGGCGAATTTTAGCTGTAAGATTGCCGCCGTGAACTTTGTCGGGTTTAATGGAAACGGAATCAACGTCATTGGACGTGCGGTAAAGCAGACAGCGCTCTTGACCGACAGTTTATAGCTTGACAGTTGTTGCTTGAAACTTGTTTTACGTGAGATACTCAAATTTCATTTTGGAGATAGACCTGAGTTTTTCAGCTTGTCATCTGAAACTTGTTCCATGTGAGATATTCGGATTTTTACTCAGAATTAGATCCGAGTTTTTCAGTTGAATTATGATATATAGAATATTTATGAAAATCTGTCTTGCAATGCAACTGAAAAATTCTCGTTTTACCTAACACGGAACTTTATTTTACCTCACTTGAGACGAGTTTCAAGTAACAAGGCCCATATTAATAACCTTCACTTGTAACTCGTGAAATTTTCAGATCTGAATTTGAAATTAAATCTTTATCAGCCTTAAGTTTCTAGATAAATTTTACAATATACATGACACTGGAATCGTGCAATTCAACTGGAACATTCTATAACTCTAACTCTAAATTCAAAGTATTTCACTTGAGGCAAGTTTCAAATGATGACTGTTAGGGAATTAAGTTCACAGATCTGAGCATCTCACGCGAGACAAGTTTCAGCACTATTAATATGGAGACGTGTATCCCGCGTTCGTAAAATATTCCGCGGAAAATCGACGCTCACGGGCATCTCTCGTTGCTCACTTTCCCGACGACTGTAACTTTGGCGGCGTATTAGAGGTGATATTCAACGGAATCCAAAATACTTCACTATCGTCGACAGTTAGACGCTCTCTGGAACTATGAATCTCCAAAACTATCAAGACGACCCGCTGTTGTATCTTCCGCCAAGACGTTCCGGCAGCGCGATGAATCTTCAGCCAGAACTTCAGACAACTTGGACCACGTAATTATCTAGACAGAGAACCGATAGACTCGGTCCCGATGACCCTCGATAACGAGACACCGACGTTCGCGGTCAGATTACTCTAACTGGATGTAATATCCGCAACGGGTTGTGTAGCGTCGGTCGGATCATTACGCAGCTCCACTCTCCGAGTCGACGTGCGCCCGAATGCGGTCGCGTCACGGTCGGATTTATGTAGAAACTAATGAAATTTAAGCCTCGGGGCCCTTAATCGTCCGGGAATCTCTCGCGATGCGCATCTCCTCGCAGATACACTTTCCCGCCATTCCTCCTAAAGTTCCCACAGAGGACGAGAGACGTTCGAAGAGAGTGACGAGTTAATATCTGCGACTCTCGCGAGAGACGAGTGTGTTTCGACTGAAAGTTACAAGGGCAGAAGTTTTCGATGGTCGTGTTAATTTTGTCACACGCGACAACAACGACGCCGATGAGAGTCGCACGTTGCGCAGAACGAGAAGAAAAGCAAGCGAATTTTTTCGGAATTAAAGCTCCTGGCTCCTCGTCGTGAAACTCACGACTGAGAGAAAAAAATGGTTGATCTAACTAAAATTATAGTTATTTTTGACTCCAACCATATTTTTACTAGTAAGTGGTAGTAGTAACATGCATATATTGTTATTATCACTGATATTACAGTAGAATTTTTAATTAAAAAATAATTGTTTTTTTGAGATCATAGTTTATAGATTAATCATTTCTTTATATGATTATAGTTACAAATATCTAAACGTTTTTCTCAGAATGGCGTCAGAAGCGAGTATGGATACTCATAATTGTCGTGAAATCAAAGGGATATGTTTATAAAATGACCCTTGGGATGGATTGAGCACATTTGCAAAATGTCCTGAAAACTTCCCTTTTGTTTTAACAATCAATAAATACTCGTAGAAATAACGCAAGTTTTTTAAACCTACATTTCCTCGTGATTTTACTACGCAAATCTTACGGTTATTTGTTGATCGTTAAAATGAATGGAAAGTTTTCGGAATATTTTGCGAATGTGCTCGATCGATTCAAGTGTTATTTTATTATAACCTTTTGTCTTGTTTCGCATAAATTGTGAACATGAGTTTTCAAATTAAGATGGACAAGGACGCAGGAACTTTAAAGCCGACTTGTCCTTTTATAGTATGGAGAAAACATTGTAATAAAAATTACGTTAAAATTATGTCTCTTTTTACAATGTTTTTTTGTAAAGCTCTGGACTACACTGAAATATTGCAGTGTAAATTATGATAAAAATAATAAATTTGACGGTCTCTCAACCTGTGTTTACGATATAAAAAAATATTTAAATGATCAGAATAATTTTGCACTAAAACGTCAAGCATGTATAACATTTTTAAACAAATATATAACAATTTCGGTCATAATTCTGTGTAGTTCAAGATTACAAAAATTTGTTGTAACTTTTTGTTACAATATTTTCTCCGTGTATACCTGATTTTTGGGGACATCCCCTTTGCGCCTCTCCACGATCTTCCGCGATCAACCCTTCTCTTCTCTGTCCTCTCTCCTCTCCTCTTCTCTCCTACGATCAGACGTATCGCCCATTATCCGGCTTACAGTCCGCGGCAGACCGGCTTCCGTCTGCCACCCTCCGCTCCTGCCTTCGTCTATCCCGCGGAATTCCCAGATTCCTTTTTCTAATTTCTCCCGTGCTCGTCGTTTTCTGTCTGTATCGGCGGGGTATTATTCCCGGGACGTCGCGCGGCGGTCATAAACGCGAGCCTTAGGAGAATCCACGTCCTGACGGGATCGATCAGGGTGTAATTGTGAGAAATAGTCCTTCCGTGCCTCGAAGGATAAGTGGATGAAGGCGGAAGTTAACGCGCGGTATTCGCTCGTCCCGACCGCCTTTCCTCTTTAATGGGAATTATCCGTCCATATACCGACGGAGCATGAGAGGGGGGAGGGAACCATCGTTTTGATTTATCTTCGTAATTTATCTCCCCGGGCCGAATGCTAAAGATACCGGCTTGGAGTGCTACGGAAGCGGGGATAAGCGGAGGAGGCCGTAATCATTCGACGCGGGGAGACGCGCGCCCGCAAGATTCGAATTATCCCGCCAAATTGCGCGCTTTTTACACGGCCCATTAGAAGCGAGATTTGTGCGGAAACCCACTGACCTATCGTGACCCGTGAACAAGTTCGTTAAAAACTGAGGTCTTAACCGAGAGAAAGAAAATAATCACGCGCACGTGCCGAGCCCGCTTTCTGTCGAATATCGAGTGATTTTTCACACACACATACACACACACACACACATACACACAGATTGATGTCTAATTCCGTCCAGAGAAGTTGTTTCAGCTCTCGTTGGAGCATGTCCGTCTGAAAACTCGGTCGATTCTGCTGTGAATGTTTATCACGCAGACGTTTGCGCAGCGCGTTAGTTCGTAAGTTACAATAACGATCTCATTAGCATCACTGATTGAAATTGGAGAATTGGATCGCTATTTTACAATACACAAACACACGCATTCACACGATATCCAACGCAATCAGTCAGTAATCATCGCTGTTGATGCTGAAATAATTTTACCGATCGTACGATACGTCGAGCCTATAAATATTATTCTCATTATTTCCCGAGCGTTACTCTACGTTGTCGCGATCGAGAGCAGGAGCGGATTAAAGATAGTAAGTAGAGTTACACACACACACACATATTCGCTGACGCAGGTATGCGCCGAATTGCGAATTAAATTTTCTGCCGTAATTACTGCGGCGCGTCATAGATGCTTTATTGCGATCTGTAAGGCATTGTATTATCAGATCCTTTTTTCTTCTTTTGCCGAAAGTCTCCTCCTTTATTATAAGTGTCGCGCTTCCTCGAAGCGTTTGCGTCCTGCGAGAATTCGCTCACGCCGCGACTACTGTCAGTATTCTCTATGTATACGCCGAACAAAAGCGCGGTTGTGACTGCATCGACAATAAATAGAGCTTTCGCTACGTCGTGAGGATTTTATTAAATTCTGGCAAATAATAAAATGTCGCTTTTCGAAAGACTGCGCTCATGTATCTACCAATGATATATATATTGCATGCTTGACGTTTTTTCCTTTCTTTTTCCTCTTTTCCCACGCGGGGACTCGAATTGGTCGAAAGACTGTGACGGGTTTCACTTCGAATGCCTCAGAGAAGCTTATACCACACTGAGAAAAAAATCTATAAAATAAGGAATATTTATTCGGTAGAAATATTAATAACATATAGAATCCAAAGCTTAAATTGACATTTTTTTATATCTGAATAGAATAAACAAAAGTTCTCCTGAAAAGCTCAGGTTTCCTTGAGACTTTGAGAAAATGTATATTTGTTATTTGAAACAAATATTTTATATTATATTTTATATTAGTACAAATATTTTATATTATATTAGTAAAAATAAATGTGTTATTATAGCATTCATCGAATAAATATTCACTATTTCTTAGACTATTTCTTATACTCTTTCTCTCAGTGCATATATATACACACATACACTACGTGCGTTAGTTGTAATAAACTCTTACACTACTTCACACTTTTATTCTTCTGTTTCTCTGTTCCTTTTTCTTGCTTCTTTCTCTTCGTCTGCGGTGAAATGCGGCGGGACGCATTCATTTCCAATGAAATGAATCTCCGCTAAGCCACCTAATCCCCTGCATTCTTAACGAAATCTGTTCCGCGCGTGGAGAGAGCAAATTTTCTTGGTCTCTCTTTCTCTCTTCTTAGTTCCCGTCGATCGCCGCGCAACACCTCCGAGACGCTGTTGGAAATGTATTCCGCGAATATGCATTTCGCTGCAGAAAAATGCAGGAAAAATCTAAACAACGCGGGCGATCGCATTATCAAAATATTCAATTAATTCACGTCGGAAATTATATGGGAAAATGAATCTTTGTTAAAAGCGCGGCGCGCGTTTGATCGAGAACGACGGTGAAATAATTGGAAATGTAATTAACTCTAATCTTTAAAACGCGAGCGGCGCACGTTCGATGTAACGCGAAATAATAACAGCGGATATTGAATGGGAACAATCGGTAATGCGCGCGGCGGGGGGAAGGAGATCGCCGGTACGAGATTGTGGATCGTATCGGTTTGTAAAACGTCATACGATTCGTTTGACTTTATTGCAGGCAATCGATTTGTTTCGATATACAATGGAGGTAACGGGGCCTCATTATACTCGCGGCGAAATCACAGTATGTGTTTACGGGCGTGTGTACGTAAGTGAGCGTGTATATGTGTGTATGTGTGTGTTCGTGTCTCGTGGGGGATGTATGCACGTGTTATATATATATATATATATATATGTGTGTGTGTGTGTGTGTATGTGATCATATTTATATTTAATAATTCATATTTACAAGGTTCCATAATGTAATCGTGTCGACGACAACACTAACATAATCACAGCCAGTTCGCCTCATTTAACATTGATAAATAAATAGGTACGAGTACACGACTAATTTCCCGGGAGAACACATTATATTCTTCGCGCATTTTCTGTTTTTTTTTTTTGTTTTTGTCGTTTTCACGACTTTTCGTCACTACATCGCTAAATACGTGCTTATATGTGTGCGTGTGCGTGTGTGTGTGTGTCTGTAAAGGGGATTGTGTGTACTATGAACTGAAAGAAAAAATGCTTGAAAGTTTACTTGCGGGATATGAAGTTTATTTCCACGGGATAAGGTTTATTTCCGCGAAATAAGATTCATTTTCTGCGAACGTGAACTTTGTATCCCGCAGATAAATCTTTTTCGAGCACATTCTCTTCTCCATGCGCGCAATCGTAATTTACATTTCAGCGCCTCGCACTCTTCACGGCAAGCGGCGTATCACGACTCCTCGTCAGCGGACTTTCTCTCTCTCTCTCTCTCTCTCTCTCTCTCTCTCTCTCTCTCTCTCTCGAGGCGACTAGAGACTCAAAAATCAGGTATCTCGCACAGCGGAAGTTATTAGCGGTAAGTGGCCGATCGATTTTGCGAGAGCCCGCCGCAGCAGTCATCGCACGCTCGTTACTTTCGCCCGATCGCTTGCGAGGGAAAATCCGGCGAGAAGCGGATTTAACCGTGCCGTTAATTCTGGCGGTAATGAGAGAGGATCGTTAGCCGCGATGAATCGGCGAAGAGCGGGGAGAAACAACACGCGGCTCGAAAAATTGATCTCTCCGGCTCGATGAACGTTTCCGAAATCTGAACGAACCCTCTCTCTCTCTCTCCCTCCCTCCCTTCCTCCCTGCCACTCTCACTCTCTTAACGACCGTTGCGTATTTAGCATCGTGATTAAGGGGACGTTACGCGCTATGCTATAAATATTCTGGCAAGTTTTATAGCCTCGTAAATAGAAACGCGATTATCTTTACGTTACTTCGTGTTACGCTACGAAAGATCCGTACGTTCTCGTGCACACTTATATCGGGACCACACATGGCAGGATTCTTTAACGCGAAGGAATTCGTCTCGGTTAAACACATACATCCGGCCGCCCTCCTCCCCCCCCCCCCCC